AATTATATATATATATATATATTCCAGTTTTTTTTATTAAAAAAAAAAAAGTGGTAGAATATGTTTGATAACTATTATATAATTGTGATTACGAGGAGGCCAACACAGCCTGCGGCTAGCTAATTGGCAGGGCCCGAGTCCCGGGAAGCCTTTATTATATACTTTTATTATATAGAAATATTATGTATACATACAATATAACAAAGAGATCTTTATTGCTGCCGCGGATCACTCAATTTTTGGTTTAAAGCCATGTGCATGAACCACAGGATTAAAGAGAAAATAACCGTCGTAATTTGATTATTTTTAATTTAAAACAAAAATAAATAGTTTAACCCTTTTTATCATATTAAACTTAATTTAATAAATATAATCTTACTAATATATTAATTTATTAAATTATTAATTTAACTGAATTAAATATTATAATTTAATTACTATTAATTTTTAATATATAAAAAATTTTACAATTTAATAAAATATAAAATTATGATTTTTAAGTAAAACAGTAATATTAAGTAATTAAAAATAGTACTTTTGAAATTAGAAAATCTCAATGGCACAATTTCCATGTAAAATAATATTCCTGTTGAAGCATTTTAAAACTAAGAACATAATAAATTTTAATAATAAAGTTAAATTACTTTCCATATGTTCAAAATTCAATTATGTACATTAGATATATTAAACTTTTTTTTTTATCACCCCCATTTGGGTAAGTTATAAATGTATCCCAATTTATTATTTCATGCACATACACATATATATATACATACAATGTGGACATGTATAATCTGATGTCTATCAATTTTTTTTTTTTTAATACAAGAAGGTACAAAAGCTAAGAAAATTAAAAAGTCGTTATACATATCTTGGATCAAGAGACGCTCATGATATCACCAGTGAGGAGCTATTGGAGATCATTCGGCACTTGAGCATGTGAATGGAGACCCATCGGTAGAGAAAAGTCAGCATTCGCTAACTAGTCAGTACATTTGTTCTCTTTCCAATAGACATGCTGGATCCAAACCTACCAATACTGCAGTAGCAAGTGCTTGATCGTATGGACGAGAGTGACACATGCATTTGTACCGTAATCCTCCTTAGTGAGTAATTACACTGCTAGAGGGCTATCTATTTCTACAATGATGCTGTGAAACCCGACATTCCAAGCGAGTTAAAGACCTTCAAAGGCTCCCCAAAGTTCGGCATGAAGAATAGAGCATCTACCAATTTTTCTATTGATATTTCTCAAGCAAACACCATCATCACCTCTAATAAGTCTGCCACAACAAGAAAGATTGGTTGCAGCATGATAAATACCATCAATGTTCACCTTCAGCCAACCCCCGGGTGGTTTCTGTTAAACAATAAGTTCTTTAGATCTGTGCGCCATACTTAGAAGAAAAAAAATTCATGTTATTAGCTATAAAAATATAATTAGTCATGAAGGACACTTCCTTAGCTAGCTCCTCGATACTGCTATCACTCTCTTGGAAAACAAATTTATTTATATGGTTCTACAAATTTCAGCAAGTAAGGTCAAATGTCACTCTCCAATCTTGGAATGTCTAATAGCAGGGCCAACTATTTTTTAGGTTCAACACTAAATAATCATGCGCACAACACTAAAGAAGGTTAATTGGGCTTCAGCGGGAATGATCTTCAACCACAGCAGTTTGACAATGCTACATTCACAGAGGACATGATCCACATCTTCAATAAGACCACCACACCTACTGCATTCCGTGGTAGAGGACATGTGATGTCGGTACCACTCCTAATTTGTCAAAAGCTTTTCCTTAGCAGCTAACCAAAGGAACATATGCATCCATTGGGCACTTGACCAATGCCAAATATCTCTCCAGTTCCTATTCTCCGGGTGCCAATGATCGCTCTCTAGGAAGGCATAAGTCGAGCTAACCGAGAAGCACCTAAAGCTTATCATACCCTAATAGTAGAAATCCAGAATGTTATCATCTTTAGGAATCGGTACTGCTACTATTTAGAGCAGCGTACCCATCTGCAACACTTGATGTAGGACCTTTCAATCTCATTGGCTAGATGGCGTCATGTAGTCCCTAACACATCTATGGAGATCTTGTTCCTCAATAGGCGCAAAAGCCAAAAGCTTAAATAGCCCCAGGTCAGCTAACCAGTAGTCTTTCTAAAACCTAACATTTCTCCTAAAACCAATGGAGCATTTGATGCTAACTCGAAGGTCCA